CCAACAAACAACTCCAACAACCATCCCCTCCAATTCTTAACCCGCAACTCCAACAACGTCATCATCACGAGGTTATCAACAAAAATCAAATAAGGCTCAAAAGGGGAGACTAGGGAATAATTTGTAGAGAAAGAAAAGGATAGAATACAATAAACGCCTTAATCACATACACAGTTCACAATTCTAATCAATTTATTTCAATGCAGACTCAGGGCAAGTTCTAATCAAACAAGAGCACGACCAATATATCTCAAGAAACAAATAAGGCTCAAACCTCTCTAGGTAGATATATGAATGCCAATCAAAGTAATCGACCAATCATCACGCTATGCCTCATATGACCAACATCACAACTCATCGAATTCATCAAACAAGTCTTAACTAATCTAGAAATTTCCAAAGTCCATACTCACAAAAATACACAAAACCTACACTAGACCGGTCCACCACATAAGCATGCAAAATCCACGTAAACTCCCCCACACTTAAAATGAGGCAATGTCCTCATTGCTTTAACTCAAAACAGGAAGTCAAATACAAGGAAAACAATTTCACATAATGAACCAAACTAGCAGCTATCACAAGACACAAACTCAAAAGAAAAGACAAGAGAAAAAACAACTCAAAAAGGATAAAAGGAAGAGGGTGTGCAAACCGAAGATGCCTCGAGGAGGATAAGTATCCACGTGCAAGCCGCTAGCTTATGCTCAGCCCAAAACCTCGATATTCCTCCTGCTCAAGCTCGCAAACTCGTACCTACCAAGAAAAACACAGAACTCCAAAACTTCCATTATTCAAAGATAAAATAAAAGAGCATAAAGAAAATATCTAGAAAGCAGTAAATCGCTTGGGTTGCCTCCCAAGAAGCGCTTGTTTAACGTCATTAGCTTGACAAAACCTGTGTACACCTCAACCAGGGTCCAGAAAGAAGTGACGATCGTGCCATGCCTTCGTGTTCTCCAATAATAGTCCCGATGGCAGTTCGGAACAAAGCCAGGCAAAGAGTAAAACCCTCGTGCCCATGTTCTTATGATGCAGAGCACGGACATCAACAACTACCAAGAGGAGAGATAAAGCATTACGAATCCAAGCCTCATAATCGACCTCCGGGAATATGAACATATCCGTGGAGCATGTCGAATCGATCCCGGCCTTCACCAATGCCATCTCGGATGTGTACTCTTCAACTTCAAGTGTGGGGAGCATGTGCGTAAACGCACTCGACTCCTCTAAATGCTCACAATCCTCAACAGCATGCGATGACGACCCAAAGGACATGGGAGCCACTTCATACTCAACATCTCGAGCCGAGTCACCTATCAATGCACAATTTGGTTCAATAACCTCATATGATGACTCGACCTCTTCATCAACCTCATCCTCGTAACAATGGACTACCTTCTCCTCCTCCTCCTCATAAGTGTCCTCCCGAGCTCCTTCAACAACACTCGGCACAATCAAATCCTCTCTTGAATTATCCCCCATGCCATGCATCGTGTCGGCCTCCGAGTACATACACTCAATCTCATTGAAGGATGCAATCATATCCACCAATGTTCGAAACTCGCCCTCCAACCGTGCGCTTTCTCGACAAACCTCCACCGATAGAGAAGCATATCTACCAAGCGGGATGTGAGATGTGTCCAAGTCGAGGAAGGTAACTACGGTTAAGTCGAATTCTGTTAGTTGATTTTGGAGACTGGATGGAATGGGAATGATCCCCCAATTGTTAAACTCCTCTACAACCGACAGGAGGTTCGCGAGCCTGTCTCGAGTATTTGCCAAAACCTCTTGGTGATCGTCGGTAGGAACAACCCTTGTTTGACTTGAAGTCTCGGTTCTCAATGAACAAGGTTGGCCAACCGATTGGTTCTCGTAGATAGGAGGTGGTAGAGTGTAAGACTCAGCGTCTTCTTTTTCGGATGGGGACACCTTTGAAGTACAAATGGATAGAAAGGATTGATTTAATTTCTCTATTTTCTCAAAAATCTCGTCTAAACGGCTCGGAGAAGCTACTTGAGTTGGCTCGGGTGGAGGCATTGAATCGAAATATGCGGGAGGCGGAGGGTAGTAGTCGTAGGAAGATGGCGGTTGGTAATAAGGCGACTCGTATTGATTCGGAGCGTAATAACTATATCCGCCTTGAGACGTCGGGTAAGAATGGCTCGGGCCATACCCTTGGGATGTGGTGTATCCGTCATGGTAATAATGATTTGAATGGCTCGGATACGAATTGGGCGGCCCTCTATACGAATACATCTCCCCTTGATAATTGTCGGGGTATCCACAAGACAAATTTCCGGCATAGGAATAATCGTATGGATTCATCGGAATTCCTCAAGCAAATACCTCACACAAGAACAAAAACAAAACAACCAAAGACACACGAGGCAAAAACAAAAACAAACTAACACGGAACGATATTCACAACAACACAAATATCAAAAGCAAGAGAAATATCAAATAAACAAATAATCAAGAAAAACACAAAAATTAAGTAAATATCACAAGAATAAGAGAAACACGAAAAATAAAACCAATACCAAAACCAGATATCCTACTTGCCTTCCCCGGCAACGGCGCCAAATTTGTTGTATTTGAACACTTATTTGTCATTTGGATGAAGCTTGTATTTGAACTCCAAACTTAGAGATTGATATGTATGTTTATTTTCTCTTTGAATTATGTTGTAGCAAATTATTTTATGTTTTTACCGAGTACCGAATCAAAAGATTTGTTCCCCGGGTCGATCTCTCGAGGAAGACGGTTCGGAATTTAGCGTTGGTCTTGATCACACACGAAAAAAAAATAAGTCCTAAACACTCTAATCACGATTGATTTGGGGAATCAACTAAAACAATCTAGAACTAGAAAAACAATTTCAAGAAATAACAATTAAATTTCTAGAGAAAAAGAAGAAGGTCTAGAGGTCGGGAAATCTCATCAAGTCTTAAACTATGTTGAACGCTTATTTGTTCGGTTACGAGATTAAACAAGCCTACACGTCTAGAGGGCTATGCTCAATAACTCTTCGTAACAAGAGCACAAACATAAACGATAAATTCATTCAAACAAGCAACACATAGACAATACTTTTACGAACATGTCTACTCTATACGAGCCTAAATCGACCGACGTCTCCCCTCTCGGTTCTAAACGTCGATTAACTAGGTTAGAATTGTGATCAATCAACTAACCATATAATTCACACAACTCGTATAGATTGAACAAAACACATTCCTCATAATTCAAAACAAGAATCAAAATCCCTAACCCTAGGTGAATGGATTACCTCATGCTTAGATTCAATTTAATGTTAACCAGAATTAAGAACATAAAACCAATCAACAATAATAAAATAAAATTGAAAAACTTACAATCGGATTAAGAGTTGCAAGATTTCAATCCAAATAACTTTGTGTCCAACAATCCAAGCATGAGAGAAAAAAAAGAAAAGCGGAGAAATTTATCCTAACAATATTGAGTTTTTGGAGAGAAAAATTGAAAGGAACGATATTGGGGATTGTTCCTTAGGTCTGGGGGTTCGTTTTCATATATAGAGCTCGAAAAACGGAGCTAAAACGAGTAAAAACGGAGAAAAATAAAAACAGGGTCGAACAGGTCGCGACTCGCGAGTTAACTCGCGAGTCGCGAGTCGGACGGGTCGTGGGGTCGCGCAGCTGGTCGGAGGCTCTGTTTTAGTCGCGAGTCGCGACTTTGCTCTCGCGAGTCGCGACGTAGGCTCGCGAGTCACGACTTTTCTCTCGCGACTCGCGACTTTGGACTGCACTGCGCCATTTTACGTTTCGGGCTCGTTTGGGCTCATTCGAACTCGGAATTGAGTTCCGTTTTTTGCTACGTGTCACTAACAAACCCATCTATCCAATTGTGCTCTCAAAACCAGCTTTTCTTGAAGAGAAAATTCGCTCGAAGCTCCTGACCTACACACCAAAAACGACAAAACACAAAAGAAAACCGGAAAAACAAATGAAAAACACCTAAAGACTCAAGATGAAGGAAAACACATAATAAAACATGAAACGGACTAAAAACTAAAGAAAGGACCTAAAATGGGGGAAAAAGAAAGATAAAATAAACACGAAAAATGCAACAAAAATAGGACAAACAAATTAATTCATGCATAATGGTTAATTTAGGAGAAATGTTTTGTTGTGTTGAATTTGATATGAGTAGCTAATCCTTTAGCTAGGGTTAGGGGATAATTATTCCAGTTTGTTTTCATTTACGTGCATGACGATAGATCAATCTTGATGAGTTGTTTTAATTATGAATTGATAAAATCATGCTTGATAAATTGATATAACCTAAGAGTGACACTTAGGTTAATTTGTTGATATAATCGAAGAGTGACACTTCGATTTGTGATTGAATATTGATTTGTGGGCTTAGAGTTTGTTAATTTTACATGATTAGTTGATTAAACACCTTCTAATCGAATTGCGACTTTTAGAACCGAAAGGGAAGGAGTCGTAGAGATAATCGATTTCAAAACCGAGAGGAGAGAAATTGGTGGAATTTGGCTCGTTTAGAGTAGACATGTTCGGAGACGTATTGTCTATGTGTTAATTGTTTCATTAATATGCTCTTTTATGTTTATCCTCATATTATGAGAGTTGGTGAGGTTAAACCGCTAAATGAGTTCGTTAGTCGAACCATTTAACCGAGTTATTGATTGCCGTTTAATGTGTGTAGAGCCGGAAGCGATTATTCCCGATACTCTAGCTCGTTTACCTTTTTATAGTTTCTATTCTTAGGTAGATTATCGTCTTATGTTATTTCTTAGTTGATAATTTTCCAACCCTATCTGATTAGAATGTGTAGGATTTATTTTACTTTTATATGTTATCGATATCAATAATAAATTCCGAACCGCCTTCCTCGAGAGATCGACTGGGGAAACGAATCATTTGATTCGGTGCTCGGTAAAATTAAAATAATTTGTGCTACAACATATTTTGTTTCTTAGTTCCTTACCAGACATGAAACATTGCCTACCTGGCCGGGCAACACATGAAAATGAGTGCAAACTACTACGTCGTGTGATGGACTGCCAGAAGCTGTCAATGGACATGCATGCACGCACCCCAAAATGGGCGGCTGTCACTAAACGTAGTGGTCCAAGTCTTCTTCACGGAGCAGGTCAAGATCAGCAATGCACTCGCCACATCATCTCTCAAGGACCCCCTGGTGGGTCCTACTACCAGGCCCTCATCCCCAACCGGCTAACCCTGTTGAAGGGCAACCTTAGTCGTTCCAAGAGGGTTGGGTCATTACCAAGAAGGACATCAACACCCTCAAGTTCGTGCTCGACATTGTGAAATCCAAGTACGCAGAGCTCTAGGGAGAGTGGAGGCCTTGCAGTGCCAGCTCGACCAGGCGGTGCCAAGCCCAAGTAGTCGTCCCCGAGGTCCAGTGGGTGGAGGAAGCTCAGCCACCACGGCGCAGCACCAGAAGTAGGGGGGCCCAGACCTCGTGGCTTGGAAGGGGGCCAGGAGGTGGAGGAACCCCATAACTTGAAGCTCTCAGGCTTTACCACTTTCTCTGTTTTGAGTTTAGGTAGAGGAACTCCATATCTTGAAGCTCTCAGGCTTTACCACTTTCTCTGTTTTGAGTTTTTTTTTTCCCATTTAGAATAATTAACAATCCGAGGCATGTGTATTGTTTGGAAAAGTAGAATCCTTTTGAGTTACATTACATGTGTTTCTCTCCAGGAACATATGGCTTTGAGTGTACCATGAAAATGAGAAAGTATACACCCCTTTCTTCATTTTTTCCATGTTTCTTTTTTTTTAAAAAAATAATATGAAATTCATGAAATACCCTAAAAATCAGTTTTTTTAAGTCAAAACTACTTTTATTTCTGATTTAGGGAAAATTTGACAAACTTGTATAGTTTAAGTGGTGATTTGTAAAAAAAAAAAATTTATATGGTGATGCATTCACATGACAAAAAGTTTTTTCCCTATTCAATTATTATATTGATAATTCTAAAAAAATTGAATTGAATTATATATGGTGATGCGATGACCAAAAGCTTTTTTTCCTAGTAAGTTATATTGATAATACTAAAAAAAAGTGAGTTGAAATATATATTAGTTGAATTTTAAAATTAAAAAAATTATGTGACCAATTTTTGGATCCAATCCTGCCCTAAGAGCACCCACAATGGTTTGCGTCTCTTTAAAAAAAATCACATGCCATGTAGGAAATAGACATAGTCTATAAAAAAATGTTTCACAATGCAATTAAAAGTGGACCTAGTCTAGCTTATGTGGCAATTAAAAAAAAGAGACCAAATCCACTATTGGGTCTATTTTGAACCAGGTGTGAACCTTACAATAACAATCATTTATTATTATTATATTTTTATTAGTTGTTAAGTATTCTAAACCTAATATTTTTTCTTTTGCATTAGATAAATTTTAAACTTTTTAACGGATTTGTCCAAGTCATACGCCACATATGCAAAAAGAGAATCAAAGCTTTGGGTGTTCTAAACATCCCCCGCTCGATCACTTATCCTATTCGTAATTTCCTTTTCTTCTTTCTTCTTTGCCATTTTTCTTTTATTTTGTGTAGCGTTCCTTTCCTTGAAAATATAATCTTGCGCGTCCACTTCCGTTCATTAGATCTTCATCTCTGCTCCTCCGCACCTGCACCCGCTGGACTGCTCCGCTCCTGTTTTCAGGATTCCGAACATAAGAGGTTTATCCATTTTTTATTTTTTAAATTTCTTACGTCTGTGAATAGTTGTTGTTTGCCGATTAGGTAGAAGTGTATAGATCAACTGAAAATTGGAGCACCCATGAACATATAGTTTGTGGGCACTCGTAAATCGTAATTAATCAGCTAATCGATAATCTCCATCCTTATAAAAAAATAGCAAATTTGTCCAATTAGAGCCTACTTTTAGATCCCATGGTTTAGAAAAGTACGTAGGAGCTTGAATCGATGAATATAATCGAGTGCGTGAAGTCCAATCCAGAAATCTCTGTCCTGAATGAAGGCAGTTATCATATATCTGTAACGTCTTAGATTTTTCTTCTCATCTCAATCAAATGAGCCAAGTATGAATCTAATATGTGGTTTGGGATTCCAATGTATAAGGACGACAATGGTCAATACTGGAGACAAAAAAGGGAGTGCCAGCTCTAGTACAACTCCCATGGGGAATGAAGTTGCCGAAAATGACTCAGGTGAAAAAGGGACTTCTCTTCCCTTGGCAGAACCCAATGCGAATGATCAGTTTGAAGATAATGTAGAAATACCCTCCCAAGAGGCAGATGACAAAGGTCCTGAAGAATTTCTGGACCCAGAAGAAAGTGAAAAAGTGACAGAGGTACGAAATAATGATGAGAACATATTAGCGACAGAGATGAATAACGAGAATAAGGCGAAGTCTCATCAAAATATTACTGAACATGACGAAACTGATGATCTAGGGGGCCTAATGTGGGATGATGAAGAGAAAATGTCTGAGGGAGACAGTGATGACCATGTTGGGGACAAGGGTGGAGCTAGTTATGAAGTTTCAGGGAATGAAGAAGATGATGAGGATGAAGTTAGTGCAGATGAGACATCCGAAGAAGATTATAACAAAGATGAAGTTGGTAGAGACGACACAACGAAAGTTTCCGAAGGCGAAGAAAGGGAAGTGAAAGCCAAAGAAGATACTAGCAAAGCAAAAGAAAATGGCAATAAAAGGAAACCTGTGGCAAAAGAAGAGAATAGGGAAACTGTAGTGAAAGAAGATGAAAGTAAACCAAAAGTGAAAGAAGATGAAAGGGGAACTAAAGCAAAACAAGATACAAAAGAAGCTAATGATAGCAGAAGTGACAAACAGGCAGCAGATTTGGGGAATCATAAGGACTCAAATGAAAGAAGCAAAAAGAAGAAGGCGCGAGTAGGGATGTCCAAGAAAATGGGTCCAAAAGATAAATCAGAATCTTCCCAGAAGAGAAAGGGGAAGAAAAGAGTTGAGAGCATGGGGATGATTTTCATGTGCAGCTCCAAGACGAAGAATGACTGCTATCTGTACAAGGTTCTGGGGCTGCCAGAAAGCAAGAAAGATATTGTGGAAAAGATTTATACTGGGATGCGGTTGTTTTTATATGATGTCGATCTAAAGTTGTTGTATGGAATTTATAAAGCCGCGGGACCTGGAGGCTACAACATTGAACCCAAAGCCTTCAAATCACAGTTTCCAGCTCAGGTTAGTTATGTGTTATAAGCTGCCATTTCGTTAACGTTACCTGATTCTCTTGTGACAACAGTACAACACTCATTTACTTAGCCAAGTGGCTGAGATACGAAAAATGCATGCTACCCATGAGGAATGAGGATAAGCTTATCTTTTTCTACATTTAAAGGGTTTTAGCATTTATTCTGAAATAACCTTGAGACAATCTCATTTCAGATTCTGTGCGAAGTTTTCACAGTCATAACATCCTTCCTCCTTAAGAGATCAAATCAATCTTGTATCCACAGGATTCATTTGAATATAATTTGTTTTGCCCAGCCTAAATTACTGGTGTGCAATCAATGGAAAATTGCCTTTAGAACTTAACATTAAATTATGTTGTTATGTAAAACTTTTAATGTATAATTTCTTCATACGTGTGATATTAACAATTATTGCGTTGAAGTATTGTATTTCCATGGGATGTCCAGACTCTCGAATAATGTTTATTTTGACAACAATGATATGGAAGGAGTCTGATTCAGGCTGTCTGTGGCTTAATTTGTGACCAGAGTAATGTTAATTTCTGGGTATAGCAGTTTGGTATTTTGCTTATTGTTTGAAGAGTCGTGTCCTATGATTATTTTGGCTACCTTATGAAGTCTTACGCCATGGAAATTTGAAAATTCATTTGGGATATAGAGTATTTTTTGTTCACAGGCTAGATATGATAAAGTTAAGTAATTTTTTTGAACTGCCTGTCATCCCCCATCCATGATTAATTTCATCCCATCTCATCCTCGTTTTATGAGTGGTCTTATGCGGTATTTATCCACATTTTCTTTAGATGATCCAACAGGCTTCTTCATTTCATCCGATGTTCTTGGTGTTATGTGATGCTTCTATTTCTATTTTTTAAACATGCTATTGGTTCCCCCCAGGAAAAAAAGTGTGTTATGGTGGCTATAAGATTTGATAATAATATTATTATAATCAGTGAGTTTCTAAGGTATTAATATACTAGGATATTCTTATTTTTTCATAAGATTGTAGTATGTCTGTTTTTTGATCTTATATACCGTTACCTGATTATTTTATCAGGATACTGACACTGTGGTCTCAAATGCCTTGTATCATGCTAAGGTGCTTATAGGCTCG